TCTCCTCTTCTTCCCCCAGCCCTCTGAAAAAAAATAAACCACTCATTACTGCTTGCAGAGGTGTCCTTTTGTTTCTGAGCTGGACCAGCCAGGCCTGGGCCAAGTGTACTGACCGAGGGAGCCCCAAATCTGTTTCTCAAACCTGCCTGGGAGCCCTGGGTTGGTGTCACCCACCAGCTGTCAGCACCCTGCAGCCAAAACCCAGAAGGTGGCACTGGGTGCCTGGACCTCTCCCCTTGTGCCCCTGCCTGCCCCATGGCCTCTCAGGTCTGCATGGCCATGCGGCTGCAGCTCCGTTGGGGAAAAAAACCGCAGAGAGTGCTTGTATTTCCTTCCAGCCTTGACTTGTGCCATCGTTACCCATTCTGGCTCCAGCCTCCTGTGCCTGCGTCCTCCTTTCTGCTGGCATGACAGCAGCCCTGCTGCTCTCCTTGCTGTGCTTTCAGCACAGTCATCTCTGGTAGACCAAACAGTGAGGGTTTAAAGGAATGAACTCTGAGAGCCAGCACAGATGGAAGGAGGATAAGAGTAAATACAAACCAGGATGGAAAAAAAAAGAAGTGTGGACAAAAGGTGCCTGCTACCAGCCCAACGCAGAGGCTCCTGTGCTCATTTGCGCAAGTCAAAGCCATAGGCTGAAGGACACGCTATCAACGGCAGCTGTGTAGTTTTGGCCCTCCTCTCCCAGCACTCCCTCCCATTGCTCTCACATCCCCAATAGTAAGGAATTACTACTGACACCAGTGAAACTTTCCTGTGGCTAGCTGTTTCTGGCGCCCGCTTGCCACCGGCAGTAACACCCAGATCCCTGCTGACTCTGCTGGGCTCTGGGTTTTTTTTTCTCCACCAGAGGGAAGCAGAGCCCGGGAGAAACTCATCTCCCATCCCAGCAAAGGCAGGGGACACCTCCAAGGCTGTGTAGAAGCAAGAGGACTAACCAGGGAGCTGACTGCTAATGCCACAGCAGGCCAGACAGCAGGAGCAGCTAAGCCTGGGGCTTTTCCTCTCCAGGGCAGCCTGCACTGGCTGAACCCTCCAGCAGTGGGCTTGCACCCTTGGCCACCAGCCTCTCAGTCCTGTGACTGAAGGGAGGTTCCGCAGGACCGACCCTGTGGCCAAATCCATAGCATCACTTCTTGCAACACAAGTGCCCTGGGTGTCACCCAGGAGGGTCAAAAAAAGGAAACTTCAAGCACAGCAGCTGCACGACCCTCCTACAGCAAGCCCCAACAGGGCAGATGAAGCAAAGCAGGTCGCTAGGCTGCATCATTTTAAGAGCTTGACTGCATGTTCACTCCCTGGGTAGTTCAAAGGCCTCATTTATTGCAGCTCCAGACAGAATACAGGCATTGCCTTTCCCCAGGCTCATGTGCAAAGTCAAGGTGGGTCCTCTGTATCCTAAACCAGCACGGAGGGCTGGGTGCTAGCAGCATTGTTTTCATCAGAACCTTATCTTTTACTCTATTTGTGCAAGAGCAGCTAGACCCTTTGCTCTTCCTTTACAGCACAGGGAAGGGGTTTTTCCTCTCCTCCAAATCTTCTACCTCAACCAGGAACAGAGGAAAGCTGACTCCACGCACCAGTTTGTCCGTAGCTGTCAGGAAGCCGTAGGAACCAGTCCTAGGAACTGCTCTCCCTTTCGTCAGCATGCCAGCTGTGAGTGCAATCGTTTTCTGTTAAAAGGGGCTGCTGCCTTCTCTCGTAGCCGGGAAGGGCAAACCATTCTCTGAAGTCGATGTCAGAGCTGGAAAAACCCCGCCATGATCCAGGAATGACTTCATATTGTTCCAAGAGGGACAGCTCCCTGGGGAAACTCTCTCGGCATCACAGACAGCTTTTGCTTTACAGTTCTTTGATCTTGCCTCCTTTCTCCCTCCACAACCCTTAACAGCCTTTTTCCCCACTTGCATGATTTTACAGCTCTCCCCTGTTGTAGCAGGGAAAAAACAAGCTGGCTCCACACCTGTACTTTAACACCCTGCCCCAGGTCTCCCTCTTGGCCATCATGCCATTTAGCAAACACTGGGATTTTCTCGACGTCTGTAACAGTTCTGTGGCTAGACCAAGAAAAGGATCAGTTCCAGCCCTGAAAACCTCATCTTTGCTGGGAAGAGCCAACTGTGTGCCAGAGAGGGTTTGAGTAGAGTTCACAGCCAGAGAAGCCTCAATTTAGTACCACCAGTGATGGGCCCAGCTCCCATTCCTTCTTTTCTCTCACCACCAGATACCGGACTTCTTAAGACTACACTAGGGATGCTGCTGATGCCGGAGTCCTCACCCAGGAGCTGCTGCTCACCCCTTCAAACACACCCCACCTCACATTCATTGCCCAGTTTTATTTCATTTAAAATCCACTGTGTTAAATATTTTAGTTACAAGTTCTGTGTAGAGGGTAAGAGTAATAGACTCTGCAGGCACTAGCAACCCCCTCACTCCCCAATACATGTGTGCGCTATCAGATTAAGGACTGCCCCCCTCCCCCCAAAACCAGCAGCCTTGGGCTGGGATATACACTACAGTTACAGACCTGGCCCCCCGCAGCTGTCTCTCTGCTGGTAGCAGGCCAAGCCCTCACACGCAGGAAGCCAGCAGTCAGATCCACCGTCAGTGTGCTGTGATTCAAGGACAGCTGCTGGGGGATGGTTCTTACCCCCGTGTCGGGCATGTAATGGTGAAAGGGTTGTCCCCCCAGGACAACCTCTACAGAGGTCACGGGCTCTGTGCACCCGGACATGAACGTTCACACCTCAGTGACCAGGCTGGAGAGAGACCAACAATCTCCAAGGGAAAGCAGGGGAGTTGCCACCGCTGTGTTCCTGTGGAGGGAGTGTAACTAGGGCACTGCCAGAGGCATGACACCTACCTCGAACCCTGCTCTGACCAAAACCTCTGCTGCAAGCGGCCTGGGGGTCCCCAGTCTGCCCTTGCAAGACAGATGAGTGTGAAAGATTTTCAAGCAAAACAGGGACAGAACAGTAGGCTTTCCTCTCCTCTCCCTCCCAGGAACCTCAGTGCTAGGAAATAAAGCTGACCCTGCCTTGGGAGCGGCAGGGAAGGGTACCCTAGCACAGCAGCAGCAAGCAGTTTCCAGTGGTATAGGACAAGCTAGAGGTGAGAGTTTGGTGCCGTGAGGGAGAGGATGCTGTACAGACGGCTCTGCAAAGGCGGTAAGTGCCATTCAGTGGGTGGGTTGGCCCACTGCATAGCAATCCTCGTGAGAAACTGAGCCTTCATTAAACAGAATAGGAAAGGAGGTAGGAGCTATCCCCGCAATTCCCTCTGGGACAGCTCCGTTCACAGCGGAGGGAGGGAGACTGGAATGACCCCTGCCAGTTCCTGAATGCCCTGCACTGGCCCTGCTGGTGCTGTGGCCCTGCCCTGGGTGGGTTGTGTGGGGGTGCGGCTGCGCTACAGGTTGAGCAGCAGCACGCGGGGATCCTCCACTGCTGCCTTGATCTTGCGCAGGAAAGTCACTGCCTCTCTGCCATCAATCAGCCGGTGATCGTATGTCAGCGCCACATACATCATGGGTCGCACCTCAATCTGAAGGGGAGGAATAAGACAGGCATTAGTGAGCTCAGTCTTACTGTCTGCATGATGCTGTCCTGTGAATTTGGGGAAGACCTGGCTTTTTCCCATCCTGAATGCAGAGCTCAGGCCCTGCTGGATGTGTCCTGCCTGGCAGGATTACCTATGTACTCACACACCCAGGCACTGATCACCACACAGGCTGGGTCCAAAACTAGTTCCCTTTCTGGAGCTGTTCTCTATCACAAAGGCTACAGCTTCCTCCTCCTCCCCACAGGGAAGCAGACTGTCCAGTTCTCCCCCTCACAGATAGGACAAGGCCCCCTGCACACCTCAGGGAAGTACCAGTACCAGCAAAGCTGCCCTACACCCATTAGTCTCTCCTCCTCCTTCACGCTAAAGCCTTTTAGAAGTTGACACCAATCCCCTAGAAAAAGCATATGGGCTATGGTCCCCATCCCACTGAGCTCTCCCCTCTGTTCACTGAAACTTGCTGCACAGCTCCACCTACCTTGCCTCCCACAGCCACAGGCCTGTCGAAGATGGCATGCATGCCTAAGATGGCAGACTGGGGTGGGTTAATGATAGGTGTCCCAAACAGTGACCCAAAAACCCCTCCGTTGCTGATTGTGAAAGTGCCTCCATCCATGTCTTCGATGGCCAGTTCGTTCTTCCGTGCCTAGAAGAACAAGTAAGGTCTTAGAAAGCCACAAAGATCACAGAAGAAAAAGGACAAGGGTTTGGATGTTCAGTCTCTCCAGGAATAAATGCTGATGGCAAGAGCTTCACTTATTGATCCGTTCAGCTGAAAACCATCAGGAATTACTTGAAAATGTATCCTATCTTTAGATCTGAACATTTACTGGCTTTGGGGAAGGATTCTCTTGCCTTCACTTCCAACTCCTGCTTTTGCAGGAGACAGATACAGGGACTTCTGCCCCAGGGCAGTTCAGCCTTGGCCTCTAAAGACAAAGGTGAAGACACACTGTGTCACTAATGCATAGTTTGCAGTCTTCTGGAAGGACAGCAAGTAGATAGTCCTGTCCTGTAAGGCACGGGCACAGCTACAGATGTAACTGGATCACTCCCCACAGCATGACTCAGTGTGGTAGAGGTCAGAGATGATGACACAGAGGGACTGAATCAATTCATGCCTATCCAGCAATGCCAATTCTTCCCATTCCTCCGAACCCTTTTTGGAAAAACCTCCAACGTTCCTTACCTTCTCCCCCAACTCGTAGATAGCTCGCTCTATGTCAGCATAATTCATGTTTTCTACATTCCTAATGACAGGGACCACAAGACCCTAGGGAGAAGCAAAGTGCATGATCAGCAAATTCACCACAGCAACACACAGATAACCGTTATGGGGCAGGAGCCTGGCCTCAGCCCAGCAGAGTTCCTGCCTCCACCTCAGTGCAGCAGGTGGTTTGGCAGAGCTGCCTCACACTCTGGCAGCCTCCCAGGAAACACGGCATGACACGCACCAAGGGCTGACACCGTAAATGAGACATCTTCTTTGCCTCTGTAAGCTCATCTCATAAAATCAGCCAGGTCTGTCTGGATCCAGCTCCACATCCATAAAAGCAGGTGAGGCACTGGGCAGAGTTCAGCTGCCACCTCTTTCTCCATGAAAAGAGTGGAGTCCCTTTATGCTGGATCTCCCCATGACTTTGGGAGCAGTGACAGAGCTTCAGTCCTGGCCAAACCTCTGCCTCACAACACAACCAACTAATTCAACACCTGTATCGCCATCCCATACTCTCCTTGGACAGGAAGACCTCTTTGTCATTTACAGAAATGGTGGAAGAGCACAGCAGAGTTAGCTAAAGGACAGGACGTGCAAAGCTTTTACTGTCTATGCCGTATCTTCAGGGGTCTATGAAAAAAAGAGGTTCCCTAACTTGGCCCTACTCATTAACCACTGAGATCTATAGTGACCTTGTTACTACATCTCCTAGTACAGAGGCAGAATATTCTTGGTCCTTCATCTTCTCCCAAAACCCATCTCAACAGTTCACAACGTATCAGAAGTCTCATTTAAAAGACGTGTCTCATCAGTAAGTTTCTGCTGCAGCAGAGTTCAAAGCTGAGTTGGCTCAAAGTATACGATCATCCCAGACCTGAGGCTGCAGGAAGCATGACCAAAGCATCCAAGGTACCTACCCGGGGAGTTGCTACAGCGACACTGATGTCCACATAGTCCCTGTACACAATCTCTTTGGTCGTGTCATCAATCACTAGCAGGAGAAAAAAGCTGTGTTACACATGCAGTACCCAAGATCAAGGGCTCAACAGACCAGAAGTAGCCACAAAATCATAACAACTTGTTCATCTCTAGCTTAAATGTAATTCCAGAGAAGAATGAGCCCTCGCTGCACCTGTAGGAGAAGCATCAGGATAGACAGAAAGGAAACACAGTCCAGAGAGGTCAGTCCCCCTCAGACATCCCCTTGGTTATTCTCCTCCTCTGGGTTTGAGCAAGCACCTCTGACATCCCCCAGAAACTGCATCGCTCCTACAGCAGCTACCTCCACACCAACCAGCAAGGTCTTCCCTCTGCAGGCTGCATATGCATGGCCCCAGCCCCACTCCTGGCAACCCTTTCCCAACAGAGTCCCTCCTGGCAAGCTGTCCTCTACCTACATCAGTGGCATTAGCCAAATCAGCTGCAGCACATAGGACTGTTCCTCTTTTTCCTGTATATTTGACTTGCTTGTCCAAGCTACTAGCCCTGCCATGGACTTGGCCACCTGCTTTCCCCCCACTCTACCATGTTCACTGGTGAGACATGCAACTCACCAGCAAGGGTCACCGCTCACCTGCATTCACAATGGGCTGGTCCTGCAGAGCAAAAGCTGCAGCTTTCACAAAAGCTGACATGAAACCTAGTTTCAGGTTGTGCTTTTTCAGGAAGGGATCCCTGTGTACAGCTCTCATCTCCCGGATGTTGCTGCAAAACACATGATAATGCTGGTCAGCAGGTAGTTCAAGAAAACACCGTTCCCTCGCTCTGTAATAGATTTCAGTGCCAGCCCCAAGGACTGCAAACCTGCACCAACCAGTCTGCCGAAAAACCCTTCAAATGTCACAGGTGAAGTGGGCTGAAGGTGGCTCCAAGGGTCCTGCCAAAGAATGTAACAGAAACTGGTCCTGGAGCACAAACTCAACAGGACAGGGTTAACCTGCATGGCCCACACTGCCAGGTGCAAAAGCAAGATGGAGCATGGCATATTTCCTGCTTAGGCCTGATGTTGCCACCAATTCTCTGGACACCAGCACTGATACCAGTGCGGCACCACAGACAGCAACTGCAGGTGTGGCTGGGCCAACCTCAGAAGGGTGAAAAAACAGGAAATGCCAAAAGCAGAAAAGATGCAAGTGGTGATCGGGGGAAAAGACTTCAATCATTGTGCAAGTCCAGCACCAACCAGCACAAGGATGCCTCCATACCCAACTCTCTGGCTTTGGGAGTTGAGTGAATATGAAAGAAATCTTTCCAGATGCTATGGTAGTGGGTGCCAGCGTAACCACCACCCTCAACCAGACTAACCATGTTTCCCCACTGCTTCTATTTATCAGAACTGAGACCATTTACAAAAAGTCAACCAAGCTGTGGCTACAAGCTCTGCCTATTCCAGTTCCCAGATAATACCAGATGCTGTGGAATTGCATGGTCCATCCCTCCCCGCTCCAGAGATCTTGAATCTTTGAAGAGACAGTTTCAGCAAGGGGCAGGGGTCTCCATGGTTTAGAGTGTTTATTTTCCTGCACCTAACCTTGTTTAGGGCTAGGATTACCGTCCAAAGACATTAGTGCCTCCCAAGACACAAGGACTGCAGCAATGAGGATGAGGTTTGCTACGAAACTGGCTCATTATGGCTTCCTCCTTTCAGACGCTGACCCCCGTGGGAAGCAGGAGGCCCCAGCACAGGTCCTCACGAGTCAACTTCACACCAATCAATCCAAACCAGATTACCAGATGCAATGAGAGCCCGAGGCCAGCGTAAAGCGACACCTCAATGAGCCTCTGAGAGGAGATAAAGCTGCAGCACTTCCCCTCCAATCAAGACTATTTTGCCAACCTTATTGTTCTGAGACCCAAATATTTACATGTTTTGTCTTAAGGAGCAGAATAGGATTTCACAAGGCAATTTGATTTGTGCACAATTTCCCCTTAATGCACTGTAACATAAGCTGCCCAACCTCCAAAGCCATTAGTGCGTTCAGTCCATGCAAGCACTTGAGTCAGGAGACCCCCCACCTGCCTGGACGGTATGAGGAAGGATGCTAGTCCGTCTCTGGAAGGGTGCACCATCCAACACCAAAGGCCTCAGACCTAGGTAATGCTCACCTGAAAGGCTGATGAGCCCTCAGGAACCACTTCACTGGAAGTTAAATATGCCCACCTCCAAAAGCAGTAACCTGGTGGGGTGGCAGAAAACAGATGCTATACCTTGCTATCTTCTAATAGCCACTATACAAGTGACACTAGTTGCTCCTGGTCGTCTGCTCAACATCTACCAGTCCTCAACCAAGAACCACACAGATGAGGAAACAGACTGCCCCTTTTACAAGCAGCAGATGACTCTCGAGGAATGACAGGCCATTAGGAAGCTACGCAGCCTTCATACTGAAACACCAACACGGCCCTGATGAAGCTGCACAGATGGTGGTACATACCTAAGAAAGAGGTCCCAAAAGACATGTTGCCAATCTCTCCAAAGAGAATCAGCAAGGTCTTGACTGCTATTTAGATGACTGCCTGCATCTATTTCTACTCGTAAAGGGAAAAAGAAGTCTGCTCCTCACCTCATATCGATCTCATTGAAAGTGGTCAGCATGGCACAAGTATTCTGAGCCTCTTTCAGCCGCTGAGCAATACGCTGACGCATCCTATTCATTTTCACCTGAAAATTAAAAAGATGTAAGCAGAAGCTGCCTCAAGCTCATCCAAGGGGCAAAATCCACAAGAAACTCAAAAGGCCCTTCTTCTTGCCACCTGGTTGACTAGTAACAGATGCCTGGGGCCAAGGTTCTCGCTCCAGGTCTCCCTGAGGAGCATGATAGGCTGAGGAGCTGATTTCACTATGAAGCTGCCCAGCTCAACACACAGTTCACTTGAAAAGCAGTGCTGAAAGACATCACAGCATAACTACTTCCGACCTATGTGCTCCTGAGGACCTCCAAGCATGCGTAGGTTTCCAGCATGAGGCTAATATGAGAAGAGCAAGACTGCTAAGAAAGCAGGCTGCTCAACTATCTTCTCAAGAATGCACAAGGCAGCTGCAGCAGCCTCAGGCCTTTGCTGAGAGCTTGTGGACAGACCAAGCAGAGCACACTGAGCCTTCTGTGCTCAGTCAGCAGACCTCAAGACAAGAATTTTGGCTAGAAAAGACCTGTGTTAGATCAGACCTGGCTCTTCCTCCACCCCACCCCTAAGTGGTGCCCTCTTGTAAAGAATTTCCCCATCTGTACAGCCTCACTGAGCTGGGTGTGAACAGGCAGATATGCACCCATCTGGAAAGCTCAAGGCTTATGCCAGAAGAGATTGTCACCCAGCAAGAGAAGTGCTGGCAAGGCCCCTACTCCCACAGCTTACCCTATGCTCTGATCTGGCACCTTTGCTGGGCACTGCCTCCCCAGGAGGGGCTGCCGCTGGGGCTGCAGCCGGCTTCACCGCAGACACTGAGGGTAAAGAACGCATCAGTCAAAAAGGGAAGCCAGGGCTTGATCGCAATGCCCTGCAATATAAAGCCCATTTGAGCTCCTTGCTCAAACAACACAGTGTGGAAGCCGCCTTGAATTGGGCTGGGCAGGTTCCAGGCATAGCTGAGCTCTCCAGTCTGGAGCATGCAGGGGAGGCCTTCACCATAAATGCCAGGTTGTTTGCCATCTTCAACCTTACATGCTCTCCCCAAGGAAGAGAGGTTTGAGAATAGGAGAAAATGGCTGTTGCCTCACCTGGTTTGCTGTCGATGGGCTGAGTTGACACAGGCGGCACTGGTGGCATCGTAGTGGGAATTGGTGCTGCAGCAGGAGGAGGGGCAGCTGCAGCTACAGGTTCAGGGGCTGCAGCAGGAGGAGGGGCTGCTGCTGGTGTGGCCTTGGCAGGAGCAGCTGAAAGACAAGGAAGAACCATGGTAAGGGCAATGCTGTCAGGGATCTCCAAGTCCAATCAACCTGACAAAAGTTAACGCTCTGGCAGAGTGCCTTTGTGTTCTCAGCACTACTCAACTGACAGGAGCCACCACAAGAGGATCCCATGGTGAAAGCGTTTTACGCACTGACACCCTAGATCTCCTCACTGTGCAGGAGACTGGACGCTAAAGAGAAGAGGGAGGAGAAGGGAGCTATCTCAGGGGAATTCTCAACTAATTTTAGCTTAGAGCTGCAGTCTCCTCCAGAGCGAGCAAAATGAAAGTTCCCCCCTCAGAAGGACTAAAATTATGCTTTTCTAATGGCCAACAGAATAGGAGTATTTTATTCAAGCTACAGAGGCAGATGGAGGAAACATTTAACCTCTCTCAGGATCCCTCTAAATGCCTTGCTTTCATCTTCAGAAAAAGACTGGTGGAAACAAGAAGGCCTGTGCAAGTTATACATGCCTGACTTACCTCCAGTTTTCCTGAGTTTGAACAGAGGTGTCCCCCCTTCCACTTTGCCACCATCAGGTACCAGAAGGGCTTCAATCACACCAGCTGCTGGGGCTGGAACTTGCACTGATGTCTGCAAAATGTAAAATCAGCAAAATTCCCCCAAACACTGGATCAAGAACCAAGTGCCCAAGAGAAGATGCCAACACGTGCAGATATACATTGTAAATTGGCACAGACAGCGGCTCTGTCTCACACAATTTGCACCAGTTCTCACACCCTCCACTAGGATTCTGTGCCAATACTTAGCAATTTTAGGAGATGCAGGCAGTGTAATGTATAGCCTGATCTTCCTGCTCCAGGGTACAATCAAGAACTGACGACCCGCTGCCAGCATCTTCTTGACAGCAACGCTGGAAGCAAAACTTGGCAGGGAGTTTTAGCAAGAACTTCAAAGATTAAGAGTCCTTTAAGGAGTGAGTAAACTTAAAGGCTAAACTTAAAACAATCTGAAGACATCCTATAGTTCTGCAGATTTCTCCTCTGTTTAAACTCAAACAGATTTCAAAGCTTAGAGCACCGAAATTGGAAGGAGGAGTGGAATTGCAGCTCCAACAAACATCAGCACCACTGATGATTAAACAAATGTATAAGGAAAGAAGAGTTATCAAAGAATTCTCACTTAAGGCACAGTCAGCTTTCACACGAGATGAGAAAAGCTCTTCTCCATGAAGGGAGCAGGAGACACAGGCAGGGCCTGCAGGCTCTAGGAGCTCTTAGTCGGCAAGGAGCCATACAGGGTACCCGCTTCAGGACTAGAAAAAGTTTTGGTCCAGAAAACTCCTACCTTGTCTGTTTCAATCTCACACACCACTTCATCTTCTGCCACTGTGTCTCCAACAGCTGAATGACAGATATAAAGACCACCGTGAGGAGGAAGGTATGCTCTGGCCTCACCTCTTAACCCACAGCAGTCTCCCTCAGTAATCCACAATTTTCTCATCCCAGTTCTCCACAACTTCTAAAGAAAAGTCGAGCTCAAACAATCAATCTACTGCCCAGTCAGAGTCTGATTCCAGTTTAGACATCACCCTTCACCCAACATCACCCATGACAGAGAGGTGCCGAGGCAGTAACTGCCATTCTTACCTCTTAGGAGAACTGCAATTAACTGTCTCATTTGCCACAGACTTAAAGGCACAGAGCAGGATGTCAGCCAGTGAACTACAATCTGTCCCGGACCTGTTCAGTGCAGCAGCAACGGTGCTCAGAATTTCAGGGAAGAGGCAACTGCTTACCTTTCTCCCACCTGACATCTCCTTCTGTGACTGACTCTGCAAAGGCTGGTGTGTTCACCGTAACCACGTCATCCCCTGTGAGAGAGACAAACAGACTTGAAGGCATTCAGAGCTCAAAACTTTTGGCATTGCTTCGTTCTTGTCATCAGGACTCTACTATAGGGGTTAGAGGTCAACAGACATCAAATGCTGGCCTTCTGCTTGCTTAAACATCAATTAACATTTAAACACAGGAGAAATTCCCATCTGACTGAAAGTCACATGGTGACAGGAAAGCCACACAAAATCTTTAGGGCTCTGGGGCATAAACTCTCAACCATCCATTGAGGCAGGACAGCAGTGGGCCTAGACCAAGGATGGAAGAGGTATCTTCAGCTGTTGTCAGGACAGCAACAGGTAGCACAAGAGCCATCCCACTGTATCCTGACTTTTTACTTACTACGTACTGCAGTGGTTCTGAAGTAACGGACAGTGAAGACACTGGAGCTATTTACTCTGCAGAAAGAGAGAAAGATATGAACACAGAAGTACGTTCCTCTGCAGGCTGTCGGCACCAACCTCAAGTACAGAACTTACATTTGCTTAACTGATCTGAAAGGCTGCTCAGCTGTTCTGATGTATTCATTACAAGCATTTCAGGCTTTTATGGATGTGCTCTTAAGGTCATTTCCTCAAATGCATTTTTACAAGATCACCTCAGCAATACAAACCTTGCCATATGAACAACAGCTCCCTGAACCACCCCACTTCTCCTGACAGAAATCCTACCAGGAGGCCACCATAGAGCAAACAAGACTTCTAGTCAGATAATCAAAGGGTAGAGATCCATTTATCACCAGTCTCCTCATTCCTGTCCTTTCCTTGCCTCAGTATCTGGTTCCAAACAAACCTTATTGTCTTTAAGCATGCCACAGCTCCTGATCTGCAAAACCTAGATTTTGTTAGTGCTAGCTCCACACTCCTACAATGTGCACAGGGATTTTATGACAGCCAACCACATTCTGCCTCCCAGCCCCCAAATCTTATCAAGGCTCGAGCAGCCTCAGCCTCTCCACATCACAGTTTTCCTGGGGATACTTACACAAGCTTCCTGCTGTCCATGTAAGCCAGTCCCTGGCTCCCAGCCACACCTGTGAATGAGAATAGTGTTATCCCACAGGAACGTTATCCAGCCATCCAGCCCTCAAGTGTCCCTGCCAGGTAAAAGAGTGCAGGGGACATGACTGTTCACCCTGAAAGAAGCTTGGGACCAAGTGGGGAATATAGCCATATAGAGGCACCTCAGTGTGCCCAGAGCTTGCCAAGAACACTGGTCTTGTCCTCACCTGGATTTACAGAGATGGGGAAAAAAGTTACATCTTGACCTCAAAGCTAATACCTCACCAATCAAAGGGGTTCCTAATAGGAGCAAGGCATCAGTTGCCTAAGAGGCACCCCCAGGAAGCCTCACAGTCACATGGACAGGCAAGAAGGAAAAAAAAGAATGAAAATAGGGTGTAGGGCAGAGTAGCAATCCACCATTATCCCTCTTCTCTGTCCAACCCCTGTCCCAAGAACGCTTTTTTCCAAAAACTCACAGCAGGGAGGTACTTGCATAGCTTCTCAGTTTCACATACCCCACTGTCCCCTTCCCACCCTGCTCACATGCCCTGACACTGCAATCTTTATTACGAACTGAACTCTCGTCCTTTGTCCCTTTCAGGGCACTGGGCAGTTTTCCAGACTGATCTTAAAGAGAGTCACTGTAGCAATTGGAGAACATAATTATCTCAATTACACAATGCCAGAAGGAAGAACTATTTCCCCACTTGATTTTTAAAACAAGCAACAGAATTTTGACAACTCTAGAAACCGGAAAAGGTAAGCGGATTTAACTGGTTTCTCAAAGTGGAATCAGAAGTGAGTGATGTAATGCTATATAAACACAGCACAGCTAGGAAAAAACAGAGCTCTGGGAAAATCCAGTTTAAGCACTGAAGAGTTGTTCACAGGCATTCTAGATTTGACATGCCACTTAATGTTCACCCATCATTTTCAAAAGACTTTATTAGAGAGCTAGGCTCTGTAACAGCATGTGTTTCAAGCACTGCAATGCTTGAAATACACTGTGCTGCTGCTGCTGTGAAATCTTCACCAGAGCTGAATGGATTGAGCAGCGTGTACATTAGGCAAGGGAATCACTCACATGGAAACACAGCTCATTTCACCAACTGTTTCTTCATTGCATGACTGACAGAAATAAACCCCAATCAAACCTATTACCAATTTCCATCATCACCTCTGTTCTGTCTAGTAGTTTGAAATGAAATAAAAGCGTAAGACTCACCAGACAGAGAGCATCTTGCCAGAGTACAGTTCCCCTGTCAGAAAGAAGAGGAACTATCAGTATTGCAAAAAAGACGGACCCACCCTAGAAGAACTTTGGTTTTCCCACGAGACCTGGGTCAGAGATGGGACCCACCATTCCCATGCTCCAGACTGTAGGCATGCTACTTTCCCATAGTGTGCAATGGCAGGAGATGGTGAGAGCATCTACACCCTTCTCTTTGCTTTGTGTCCTTACAGGATGCTTTCCTGTGGAGTGATGTTAAACCTGATGCATCTGTTTTTCAGTTGTGGCTCCAGTTGTTTTGACCTCATGCACACTTTCCTCTTTAAGCAGGAACAGAACAACCAATTCACTGAAATTTGCTATGAATGAGGAGGTCAAGCGTAGCTACTGGATACGATGAAAAAACATCCCATGATGTTTACTCCTACAGTCATGAACGCAGCATCTGAGGGCTTTTTTGTTTGTTTATTTTACAGCTACAGAGCCTTTGAACTCCACAAGGCTGGAATTTCCCTCGATGGCAAAATTTCTACTGCCTTCAGTGAGCCAGGAATTCCACTTTTTGGTGGTGTTTCACTTCATACCCATGTAATCATTGACTGTACTCCTAGCTCAGCGTAACATTCCTCCAAAGACATTTCATGATAGTCCAGCTACCTTCTCTATTGTTATTATATATTTCTCTAGCATCGAATCTGCAGACCTGGAGAACTTAGGAAGCCTTTAAAAGCTACAGGAAAAGATCACAGTAACCATGACTGAAATGCAGGTGACTGGTTTGGAACAACAGCTACTCAACAGCTCAAAGCACCCTTATCCAGTAACTAAGGTAAGAGGTAAAAATTAGATTTCATTCACACCTTCAATGTCTCAAGGGAAGTTTGTGTATAAGCCCTGATTTCAGCTTCACTAGAGCAAGTAGGATGAGATATAACTGATCTTAAATATCAAAATAATTTGTAGAGCTGTGTGTGATAAGACAAAACAGATATGAAGGACCAAAGTGATAGCTAAGCTTCTCACACCGTCTATAGGACTGAGTGCTGTAGCATGCAAAAATACCTTCCATGAACACTTAATATCAAAACTACTGACAAACCTGGAATCAACCCCTTGACAGTTTAATTATCCAAACTTACTGATGGATTTGGCTTCTCAGATATTAACGTACAGTCAACTCAGTGATCAATGGGCAGTTCAACAGGGTTATGATTAGTTCTGCCGAGGATGCAGGCAGCCAGGCTGACTTGCTGCTAAGCCAGCCTGGGTCTGGCAGAGCTCAGGAGCTCCAGCACAGCGTCATGCAGCTACCCTGCTTGCTCATCCACTGCAGGAACCAACGATCCTGGACTGATAGTCCTGCAAAACTGACTTCTGTCAGGGCCCACTGGAGCCCCTGCCCCAGGTCTGGCTGGGGAAGGGAAAGCAAGGAGCTCTATGCAGACTTTGCAGAGTCATCGTGAACGCTACAACACTTAATCTTGGTGCAGCACTGGTCCCCTGCTAACTCAGATCTGGTTTGTGTAGAGCCAGCTCTAAGGTAGGATCAGTAAGACAAACTTCAACTTATGTCCTCTTGGTCAAGTGTCTAAAGCACCACAATCCTCAGCACACGTTAGTTCCCGTGTTGATCAAATTCTTCCCACTCTCTCCATAGTGTCCCAGATAATACGAAGTCAATCACAAATAAAATATCAAGCGACCTGAGCTCCCCTTTGCCCATTAATGTTTTCCTGGGTGCTTTATAAAAAAAGTGGTTAAAGGCATTCCTAGCATCCCAGACAGTAACTTGTTAAGAAAGAGGAATGGCCTCAGACTGAAGCAGAAACAGCCAATGTTATTTGCTCAGGAGCAGTTTAGTGTAAGGTTAAAAAAAAAGTTTAGAAGGCCTGTGCTAAAATAAATCGTTGTGAGAAAACACATCTGCAGCTCTCTTCCGTGAGAGGTGCCAAGTCTGTGCTCCACAACTGCTGCAAAATTAAGGAAAAAATTAGTATCACTCAACCCTTCTGTCTTTTAGGTTAAGAAATGAGCTCTAATGTGAGGAGGAAGCCATGAATAAAAGATACTGAGATTCCTCTGTCTTGTGTTCTGCAGAACCACTGTGTGTTCATCTCTTAACTACAGTACTTCAGAGAGCTCCGGAAGATGCCTGACAGGGCTGTTTCTTGTTTTCTTTTTCCCTGAAGGAACCACTGTGATTGCACCTTTTCCTGGTATCACCTAGCTAAATCTGCCCTCTGCCTGATCTTGGAGCTTCCTCAGTGAAAATGGAAACGTTTATGTTTTGCTAGCTGGCATTAGCACTTTGGGTCACTTTAAAAAGACACCCATCACTTGGGGAAATAAGTCTTGGTCTAATTAGCTAGTGACTCATGTATGAAGTGATTAATTTTTCCCCCATGTTTCACGTGACTTCTCAGAGTTGTTTTAATAACTTATTATGTCAAAGTGACCCTGGCACACAGTGTCCCAGGCCACACCTTTCAAAGAGCTGTCGCCTTTCAGTAGGTCACTACACGCTGAAATAAATTATGGAATACAGGCTGTCACTTTGCCTGATGATTACCTACAGATTTCTTCTCCAACAGCGGGAACAGGGCCCAGTTCAGGCAAGGACACTAACTGAACAGGAGGGTACAGTTAATTTCAACAGAGGCAAAAAAGAAGCTCAGTGCCGGGCAGCTCTGATGACAGGCAAAGAAGCAATCTGTTCTCCAGCCCTGGCTTCTTCAAAGCAAAGAAGCTGTTGCTTTAACAAGGATGAGTGCAAACCACTGCTACACATAAAAAACCTACTGCATGTCTTTCATGGATTTTTAACACAATTATATATAGCATGGCAGGGCAGATGCTAAGATGGGATGGAGATAACAATGCTGAGTGCTAAAGGATACTGTTACTAAGACGACAGGCTGAGAACTCCTCCAGCATGCGGGGAAGATCAAACAGGGAAGAAAAAGTTCTTTACAAACTCTTCCCCAGATAAACAGAAGGACTTGATTCTCAAAGCACTGAATGCAGCTCCTGATCAAACCATCCTCTTTCACACTAGCTCTTCTCTGGACTTTTTCAGGTCATCCTTCAACAGCTGTCCCCCTCCACCCCACCAAGTCTTATATGCTCAGATGCAGGCTATTGATGCACATTCATGATTTCAACTCGATATACAAAACCAGGATCTTTTTCTCTTTTACGAGATCATCAAAATCCAGCCAACCCTTCCCTAGCCTTGTTGTTTCTTGCTGACTCCACTGTTCTGCCATTCAGCCCTACACTTCTGAATTTTGTACATGTCTATTGTTCTCAATTCTTCAATCAGAGGTTTGACAAGTTCTGGTGTTTCTTTCTGTCTCTCAAAAAACCCGTGTTATCCCCTTTGTCAAAACTTACTTCTCATACCCCTACTGAAATGGAAATTGAACTACTTCCACCATCTTGACTTCTCAACTTCTCTAGTACACCTAACCAGTTAACTAAAATTATGTCCCCCTCCTAGTACTCAGCTGTAACCTCCTGATTTGCAGACTAGGTTTGTAAAAGGTTTGAATACTCCATCTGGCTTTCCTCCCTGTTCTGTATAATTACACACCACCACTGAGAGCTGACAAAGCTTAAATATTGTTAAAATGCCACCTAAATAAGCTTATTTTAAACTGCCCTATAATCAATTTGTATCTACATGTAACAAAATATAATGTTATAAATTGTTTACAGTGCAGTTTTACATACACACACATTTATAAACATAAATCTGTTTGTAGCACCCAGAGACAAGCATTTAACATACAATAGCCCTATGAGGAAGCATGACATAAACGTTCAATGTTACAATCAGCTGTCAACACTTGCTTGCCTACATTCACACAATGGCTCAAATCAAATCTCATGCTCTAAGGCTTCAGCTGGACAGCTGGAAGAGAAGTGATCTTCCTCCTCCTGTAAGTATGCATATGTATGTATGTACATGCATACATATATATCTATGCATGTACATAAAGTGATGCATGTTTGCTACTTAAACGGAAGATATGGCCAGAAGTCAGCAAACGACAGAAACCAGCCGGCCAGGAGCAGCCCCGGGGTTGATTTAAGCGGCTGCTCTGGCTGTTAGACTCTGCCAGCCCAAG